CGCAAAGGATGATACGGTGCTGTGGTGTGTATCTCTGTCTATGTCTGAAATGAGGAGATATAATAATACTAGCACAAGTGAAAAGTTAACAGACTAACAGTTAACGTCAGTGAAGTATTAGTGACTTAGGCTTGAGACGGTCTTCTGCAAAACTACTTGCCTAATGCCACCAACGTGACACCACCCACCTTACTAGTAATTGTAGTCAGTCACGCTGTGCCATCCTTGAGGAAATCACTGTAACATTAATGAGGCAGCAACACTGCACTATCATTGCAACAGCTACACCATGACTGGCAAGTATGACAATAACATCAACATGATGCCATGGTTGCCACCACTGATGCTCTATCATATGTTTGATATCCTTGCTGGGAAATAACCAATTCTTACTTTATAACGTCAGTTTTTTTAAGTTCCGCAATTTCAGTTTTTATATTTCTTATATTTCTCAAAATTATATTGTCTTTATTTTAAGTTAGGTTAAACTAATGAAGGTTAAGTTAGGTTAGGTTACATAAACCTATAAAACGTAAACTACAAATAATCAAATTAGAAAAAACCGCCGCGATGCATTTGGTAACGAGGTGGCAATGAAAAATAGGAAAGGTTAGAATTTGAACGTTTATCTCTGTTGGTTAGATAATCGGTTGTGGTAAAGGATAGTGATTTGACAATCATTTAATAAAGATATAAATGGCATTGTAACCTGCAGAGCTCCCTGTTTAGTGACACTAGGCTTGTGCACCAATGACTCAGCATTAAGAAAGGAGCAACTTCGATTAAATTCCTTTCTGAGCGCTGCACACACGTGTACCTCTCCCTAACTACCTACCATCATCTACTCTCATAATCTTGACCCAATTATTCAATGAACTATGTACAACTGGTAGGCAGGCTAGAGCGGATAAAGGCTCTTGTGCATGATGAATCCATCTGAATAATGAATAATGCCCATTGTCAATTTTCTGATTCACGAACAAAATTTTATGTCCTGTGCCCATTATATAAGAGCTGGGTTCCTGAATCTGAAACTTCTGTGCGATATTATTACATTTTCCACGAACTTGGCTTATTATAGTTTTATGTAAATGAAGAGTGCGCATGAGTCAGAGGCAGCAACAACGTCAATACTGTATCAACTGAAGTAATGTTGCTTGTGATATATCACTATCAATATTTGAATTATACACATCACATTTATGGGGGGATTTTTACATATGTTTAATTCACTAAACACTCACCTTCTAAATTTGTCGAAGACAATTTATGTAATTTTTTTGATGTCAAGCTGAGAGATGTAATGTTCAAGGTCAATATTAGTGGAAGAACACACGTAAGTTATTAATATGGTTGTAAGTGGTGCGTTACTTGTAATGTTGTGACCAATTATGCTGGAAGGCATCCATGAGTCAGCTCAATAAGTGGCGTTACTTGTAACATTGTGACCAGTTATGTTGGAAGGCATCCATGAGTCAGCTCACTGAGTGGCGTTACTTGTAACGTTGTGATCAGTTATGTTGGATGCCAAATGAGGTCCTTAGGCTGAGTTTAACATACATGCTCAAACGAAATATAAATCCATTACACAAATTATTATACATTACATTCCATGAAGCGCTTAACCCGTGGGGGTCATACAACGCATGTGAAATGGGAAATAATCATGTTTGATCGAAGGGGAGGATAACTCCAGTTCCCTGGATCAAGAGTCTTTCCCCATCACGGTACCCTTGAAGGGTCCATTACTCAGACTGTATCAACACCAACATTGTTACAGTATATCAAATTAGTTTGCGTGTTATGCAGCTTAACGAGAAGAAATTATTAATCAAGGATAACTCAAGAAAGCCAAGAAGTGTGATTTATTTCCCTTGGGATTCTTCGGTCCTCTACCCTATAATGTGACCCAGAGCAACCCGCCAAGTCCTTTATCGATGTGCTGATAGTTAAATGGGTAGATGTAGAGAGACTTGCTCATACATTCCACACTCCCGAGGATCAATCCCAGGCTCTTTCAGTGAGCCAAACTCGATCGCTGAGCCACGCAAGCTTACCATAAGAGCGTCATAAACTACCTTGAGAGAGGTGGCCATAAGCCGTGCATGAGAGGTAGGTGACTCGATCACGAGAGGAAAGAACCTTACTGTGAGAAGCAGGGACCCGAGCATGAGCTGAGCACAGGAGCAACGTCTTCAGTGCTTGGAGACATTCCTCTCGTGATCTCAGCATGACCCGGAAGCTGTACCGTTGTAGGGATCCTCCACCTCCTTCCCTCTCCTCTTTCCACCCCCTCCCTTCATATTCCCTTCACCTCCCTCCCTCCCAACACCAGCGTGGACCAGCTGATCTCATCCACATCAACAACTTGTATATTACATCCCTCTTAACTAAGGAATATATAATGAATACAATGCCTGCGTGGAGACGATTAATAAAAGCCATACCTAAGTGTTTAACATTGTATAACAACTTCGATAATTTCGTAGGTTACTACCATCATGAGTTGATCAAGGTATGTTCAGAGGTAAGTAGTAATAACATTTAAATTAGTTTCCAAATGTTAAATATCGCACAAACTCACGTTTAATTCAGTTCTAATTTGATTCAGATCTGTTCCACTTTGTTACACAAATCCCAGAGATAAAGAGTTTGTTTACACAACGTTAAGTTTTCATTTTGATCATTATATGTCATAGTCTAGGCCTAGGGCTTTAGGAGTGTAGGCACACACAAGAATAAGGTGAATAGTTAACACTTTGGACAAACATTCTCGCACCATGAGTGATATACTTCTACAGATTTGTTAGGGCTTATTTTTAAATTTGCTTAATTGTGAATAACAAGTGTGCTGAAAGGTTTGTGTAACCTAAGCTCAACTTAGCCTAATCTAACTTAAAATAAAGAAAAGATATTTGTAAGTTTACAGAAAGCATTAAAAATTACATTGAGAACCTAGTAAGAAAATTAACGTACTAAAATTAGGGACGGGTTGCTCAGGCAGACTCAGACGTAAGAAAGATTCGTTCATTTTAAGGCCACAAACAAGGTATATAATACTGAAAATGTATAACACACATTTATTTAACATAGGTAACCATTAGTGAAACGCTCCTCCCACCAGGGGCATTGGATTGATAATGCCCTTGGTAGGCGAAGCGTTCAGACAATAAAGTAGCCTAACGTTGCAGAAGTGTTTTATACAAGAAACTACAGATGCTGAGGCAGCAGTAACCAAGCACCTGTGAGTATCTGCATCCTGGGATGATGACCGAGTGTTTAGTGCTGCTTCCACCTTTCTCTCTTAAGATGTTCATAAAGTCTTCATGTTATGACTATTTTTATGTAATATATATATATATATATATATATATATATATATATATATATATATATATATATATATATATATATATATATATATATATGTATGTATATATATATATATATATATATATATATATATATATATATATATATATATATATATATATATATATATATATATATATATATATATATAATACGTACACGTATTATGAGAATATATGACTAGTGATATAATGACATAACATAACCTTAATGATCAGTTTATGTTATTTCACTTTATCAAAAGAAATATTTCCTCTACTTTATCATACACTACTGACAATATACACATACTCGTTTTATACACAAACATACAATATTGGCCCTATACAGAGCTCTTATACAAAGGTACATAAAACTGACACTATGCATAATTACGTATACAATATTATTCCTATATACAAACATATATTAACATTATACAGCGTTTATAAAAATGTAAGTAATGCTGGCACTATACACAAATGTACAACACTGGAAATATATACAAAGTATATACAAAACATACAGTAACAGAGCTACACAAAACTAATATAATACTGATTCCATACCAAGTTCTTATACACAAAAAGACAATACTGATATTATACAAAGCCCTTATGTACACACATATACTTGCACTATCGATATACACAACACAATATACTTACGTTGCCCAAGAATGCAGTATTAGCACTAGATAAGATAAGATAAGATAAGATTTCGTTCGGATTTTTAACCCCGGAGGGTTAGCCACCCAGGATAACCCAAGAAAGTCAGTCCGTGCGTCATCGAGGACTGTCTAACTTATTTCCAAGTATACAAAGTTCTAACACAAAGCTCTTACACACAAGTCAGACAACCCCTCAAATTTAAGAAATCGATTATTGTATAGGTTTAAAATATTTATGAAAAGAAGAAGAATGTAGGTGCAGTAGCACACATTACAAAAATACTTTAGTCATTATATGTGTCGCAAAATATGTAGTAATTAATATACTGTATTTGCTATCAGTTACCATAGTTATTATGTTAAGATATACATTATTTTATCTTATATATGATATATTTATGTATTCATTAATTCCCTCCTGATATATAATAGTAATTGTATTGTAGTACTCGGTGATAGTATTTAAAACATAATGACTGTTTTACACATCAATTTTACAGTTTAAGAGCTATTATCCTACACTAGGTACCTATTTACTGCTAGGTGAACAGAGACAGTAGGTGTGAGACATACCCAGTTTCCACCCGTGCCGGAGATCAGTCACCGACCCAAAGTATGTAAGCGGAATGCCCTACCAACCCAGCCACGGGACACTTGGTGATAGCATTCAGGTACAATACTTAGTGATAATGTTAAGATATAAACAAAGAAACAAGCAAGGCATCTTCCTTATACTGCCGGAGTTAATATACGGCAGAAGTAACGTTAAGTGCTTCGTTATGCTATAATTGTATCTCCATGTCCTCATAATACTTAAGTACATCATAATTAACCTTTGATTTATTACTCAACCTATTTCATTATCTCCAGAAAATACACAAATCTGTTTACCATACAAAATTGTAGCCCATTGTTGCCCATAAGAGGCAATGGAATTCATGAAACCAAAAAAAAACCCAATATAGTTGAAGAATCTTACCTCCAGTGCTGTCTCAGAGTAATCCAATGGTAAGTAAACTCCACGGGGGTAATAAACTGTGAAAATTCACTATATATATATATACTAAACGTAATGGAAAGTGTTATAATTCAGGAGGAGAGTGTTAGTGTGTACACATTGATGCTGGAGAGTCATACTGAACCTCAACATTCTCCTCTCCTCTCTCACTACACACAAAAACTTGTATACACATATAAATACCTACGGTAAAGCTAATACATCACTACTGACGTCTAGCCTCTAGATTGCATAAACGTGTACCGTTATTTAGATCAATGTTTATATCTCTTGAAGTAATAATAGGTGTGGTAAGTGGTAAGTGTCGTACGTCTGGCAGCAGAAGCAGCAGCTAGTTGATGTCTTAGTTACCAAGAAATTATTTTCTGCACAATTCTTTCTTATCTTTCAACACTCAACTATAATATATTGACGACAGACAACAGTGTCATATTATTTATTTTATTAATATTAAACAAAGAACAAGCAAGAATATAATAGAACTTGGAGAGATGCAAGCCAGCTCAGAGAGGAGCTGAGCCAGACACAAGGAAACACAAGATTGATTTCACGTTTTGATAAAGTTTGTGTAGTGAATAAGTTGGTTTGTTTGTTGCTTCACACTGTCCCAGCACTGTCATACATTATTATTATTATACGGTGATGAGGGGAGCCTAAACCCTTAGGAGTCGTACAGGTAACTTGGTCTGACTTTTGAGTTATCCTAGATATTTTACACTATGCATGGCAATTGTATTTAAATGTAAGTAAGTAAGTTTATTCAGGTATACACAAATAGTTATATAGAATTATCATACATAGCAGCATATGTGTAGAGAACCTGGGATAACCCAAAAAAGTCACAGTGACTTATTTCCATTGGGGTCCTTTTACCTTATTATTATAATATAAAGGTTATAATATTTTCTTATTATTCTACAATGAATTTAACATCTTATTATCATACTTAAAAGACTATCTACTACACGAGGGTCATTAAGACTATCTACTACACGAGGGTCATTACTAGGAATAAGGTAAAATTTACACGTATGTTAGCTAAAAAACAAAATCATTCCCCTCCCTTTCTGTAGCTACATTCATCAGACACCTTTTGGCAGTCTTCTTGAACTGGTTCATGCTATGACTGGCTTTGACATGTGCGAGTAGTCTGTTCCATTCCTTTATTGCTGTACAATAAAAGGTGTTTGAAGCCTGGCCAATGACTGTGGCTACTACAAAGTTGTGCTCTCTCCCTCTAGTACTATGATTGCTCTGGTTCCCAACCTTGACAAAATTGACAGCAAGATATTCTGGACACTGTTTGTGAGCAATTTTATAAACATGATTTAGCTTCAGTTGTTTTACTCTGTCTTCAACATTCAGCATATCCAACTGCTGTAATTCATCCTGGCCTACATGTTCTCTTGGTCCCAGCCCCAGGATGAATCTTACGATTTTGTTCTGGGTGATTTGCAGTCTATCTTTCAGTTTTTTTGTCAAGGCAGAGTACCATGAAGAGCAAGCGTAATCCATATGGCATTGTATAAGAGCTAGACATAGGGTCCTGCGAGCCTCAGTAGGTAGACACTGTGCTTGTCTATACAGGAACTTCAGTCTGGCATTCGCTTTCTTTACTACACTGTTCCCTATCAATTCTCCTGACATGCATGGGTCAAAGGGATATTTTACTGATGAAACCAAAGTGATGGGCTCCCCATCACACTGAACATTAAAATTATTTACCCTTCTCAGTTTATATTTCGTGCCAAAGAGAATGGCTTCAGTTTTCCCGAGGTGTAATGATAGTTTGTTGTCTACTAACCATTTGCTGCAGGACTCCAGTTCCAGTGTTAAAACATTAGCAATATCTTGTGGGTCTTTACCTGACACTAACAGAGCACTGTCATCTGCATACAGTAGGAGTTTGCACTAGACAATGATAGGCATGTCACTGACATAACATAAGAATAATAAGGGACCCAGAATACTACCTTGGGGAACTCCAGTTGTTATCGGCAGGGGTTCTGATTCCGTTTTGTTGATTTTGACTATTTGTCTCCTGTTGCTAAGGTAGGACTTAAACCAGTCTACAGAACCTATACCGATAGCTTGAAGTTTCTTACATAACATATTGTGGTTGACAGTATCGAAGGCCTTTTGCAGGTCTAAGGTTACCATACCTATGAGGTTCCCCTTTGACATTTCAGTTCTCAGGTAATCCATCAGATAAATAAGGGAGGTGTCGGTTGAGTAGGTTCTTCTAAAGCCCGATTGATGTACCTGTCCCTAAATAAACTTACAGGTGGGTGAATGGGAAGCAGTAATGTTCCATTCAAGGAAATGAAAAATCAGGTCCAGTTCCTTGAATCTAGAGCCCCGAAACCCTCTCCAGGTAAACTCCAGGTAATGTATCTGGAGAGTGTACAAAAAACATTCACGGCACACGTAAGTACGATGACACCTAAATTATTGGGAACGGTTGAAGTCCCTTGATTTGTATTCCCTGGAACGCAGGCGAGAGAGATACATGATAATTTACACTTGGAAAATCCTAGAGGGATTAGTACCAAACCTGCACACGAAAATCACTCCCTATGAAAGCAAAAGACTCGGCAGGAGATGCAACATTCCCCCGATGAAAAGCAGGGGCCCCACGAGTACACTGAGAGACAACACAATAAGTGTCCAGCATACATAAGAAGAATTACCAATAGACCCCTGGTTGTCTTCAAGAAGCCGCTGGACAGGCACCTGAAGTCAGTACCTGACCAGCCGGGCTGTGGTTCGTATGTGAGTTTGCGTGCGGCCAGCAGTAACAGCCTGGTTGGTCAGACCCTGATTAAGTAAGTTTATTCAGGTATACACAAATACAGATACATAGCAGCATATGTGTAAAGAACCTAGAATTACCCCAAAAATTCAAAGTGACTTATTTCCATTGGGGTCCTTGTGATCCACCATGAGACCTGGTCACAGACCGAGCCGCGGGGGCGCTGACCCCTGAAACCTCTCCAGGTATACAAGAGTGATATGGTATGATGTCTTAATCTAGGATGTTTCCGCATTTCCCTCAGAAGATTGATTTTCATCTAGAAATTTTATGATCAAGACTGTATGGCTACCACGATCTATAATATGACCGTGGCTATCATGAGCTACATGACTGTGGCTACCATGAGCTACATGACTGTGGCTACCATGAGCTACATGGCTGTGGCTATCATGAGCTACATGACTGTGGCTACCATGAGCTACATGGCTGTGGCTATCATGAGCTACATGACTGTGGCTATCATGAGCTACATGACTGTGACTATCATGAGCTACATGACTGTGGCTATCATGAGCTACATGACTGTGACTATCATGAGCTACATGACTGTGGCTATCATGAGCTACATGACTGTGGCTACCATGAGCTACATGACTGTGGCTACCATGAGCTACATGACTGTGGCTATCATGAGCTACATGACTGTGGCTATCATGAGCTACATGACTGTGGCTACCATGAGCTACATGACTGTGGCTACCATGAGCTACATGACTGTGGCTATCATGAGCTACATGACTGTGACTATCATGAGCTACATGACTGTGGCTATCATGAGCTACATGACTGTGGCTATCATGAGCTACATGACTGTGACTATCATGAGCTACATGACTGTGGCTATCATGAGCTACATGACTGTGACTATCATGAGCTACATGACTGTGGCTATCATGAGCTACATGACTGTGGCTATCATGAGCTACATGACTGTGACTATCATGAGCTACATGACTGTGGCTATCATGAGCTACATGACTGTGGCTACCATGAGCTACATGACTGTGGCTACCATGAGCTACATGACTGTGGCTATCATGAGCTACATGACTGTGGCTATCATGAGCTACATGACTGGGCTACCATGAGCTACATGACTGTGGCTATCATGAGCTACATGACTGTGGCTATCATGAGCTACATGACTGTGGCTACCATGAGCTACATGACTGTGGCTACCATGAGCTACATGACTGTGGCTATCATGAGCTACATGACTGTGCTATCATGAGCTACATGACTGTGGCTACCATGAGCTACATGACTGTGGCTACCATGAGCTACATGACTGTGGCTATCATGAGCTACATAACTGTGGCTATCATGAGCTACATGACTGTGGCTACCATGAGCTACATGACTGTGGCTACCATGAGCTACATGACTGTGGCTGCCATGAGCTACATGACTGTGGCTATCATGAGCTACATAACTGTGGCTACCATGAGCTACATAACTGTGGCTACCATGAGCTACATGACTGTGGCTACCATGAGCTACATGACTGTGGCTATCATGAGCTACATGACTGTGGCTATCATGAGCTACATGACTGTGGCTATCATGAGCTACATGACTGTGGCTGTCATGAGCTACATAACTGTGACTATCATGAGCTACATGACTGTGGCTATCATGAGCTACATGACTGTGGCTATCATGAGCTACATAACTGTGACTATCATGAGCTACATAACTGTGACTATCATGAGCTACATGACTGTGGCTATCATGAGCTACATGACTGTGGCTATCATGAGCTACATGACTGTGGCTATCATGAGCTACATGACTGTGGCTACCATGAGCTACATGACTGTGGCTATCATGAGCTACATGACTGTGACTATCATGAGCTACTTAACTGTGGCTATCATGAGCTACATAACTGTGGCTATCATGAGCTACATGACTGTGGCTATCATGAGCTACATGACTGTGGCTATCATGAGCTACATGACTGTGACTATCATGAGCTACATAACTGTGGCTATCATGAGCTACATAACTGTGGCTATCATGAGCTACATGACTGTGACTATCATGAGCTACATAACTGTGGCTATCATGAGCTACATGACTGTGACTATCATGAGCTACATGACTGTGACTATCATGAGCTACATAACTGTGGCTATCATGAGCTACATGACTGTGACTATCATGAGCTACATAACTGTGGCTATCATGAGCTACATGACTGTGGCTATCATGAGCTACATAACTGTGGCTATCATGAGCTACATGACTGTGGCTATCATGAGCTACATAACTGTGGCTATCATGAGCT